CAATACCGTAAATCCCCATGTCCCCCTCCAATAGATTCTTTTATTAACAAGTTCATAGAAATCTGAGTGTTGGATCATTCAACCTCGTCCCCAGGGCACTCTCAGGCTTTTCCCGTGCTTTGGAGGTGGGTGGAAAGGCAGGGACCAACTCTAAGTGTCCGTTTTACAGAGGTGTCCGTCTTATAGAGGTGTCCGTTAAGAGAGAGTCGACTGTACTAGCATTGGGTGTGACACAACTCCTTTAAAAAATTGTCTCGTTTGACCGCGGTGTATGTCGGGGCACCGGCGTGCGTGACCAAACGAGATCTGACCAAACAGAGATCGCGTGATACCGCCCGCAGTACAGTATGGGTAATACTTTTCCAAATATGTCGGTCACTGAACTGCGAATATCGTCTTCCGCAAAACTTCCGCAACCCTTCCCCAAGTATCTGAGTCAGTCTTCTGAGGCGTGTTGAGTACAGAGAAAGTATTGTTCCTTTTTATGCATCGGTGATCCCTTTGTAATCTCAAGTTCAAGATAAAGAACGGACGAAAGCTCTTGGTAAGTTTGTTTCTCTGACAGTATGCTGCAGACAGTCTGCATGATGCTTCCGTGCTGCTTCCCCCATGCTTCTTGCCTTGCTGTCAGGCTGTTGAAGAATTAATGCGTGTTCATTTGATAGTCAGTGATAAAAGTGCGAAAAGTGAGATCATGACTATGAGTAGGGTTTTTATGTAATTGGTACTTGAAAAGAATCCATTTGTATTCACAAAGCATAAAATTTGCATGTTAATTGTTACTAGTGGATTCATTTGCAGCGCATACATGTAACTGTAGCCTGCGTAACAAGCGCCCTGACCAAGCGTTTCTGTTTGGCAGATTTTCTGTTTTGGCCGCGCGATATAATTGGTACTTGAAAAGAATGCATTTTTATTCGTAAAGCATGAAATTTGCATGTTAATTGTCACTAGTTTCTGTTTACTTGTAATCTTTTTATCAGAGGGTGGATTCATTTGCAGCTCATGTGCATACATGTAACAGTAGCCTACGTAACAAACGCCCTGAGCAAGCGTTTCTGTTTGGAAGGTTTTCTGTTTTGGCCGCGCATGAAATGGAATGAGAGCCAAAAAAATGAAAGAGGGGGGAGGGGAGGTTAAAGAAAATGCGTGTAGACAAACCCCTACATGAAACCTAAGCACGCAAGCGGCGAAGCCGCGATAAATGTCGTGGTTTGCAATCGTGCTGGATGAGGTAAGAACTAGATGGATTTTAAGAGAAAAGGTAGACTGCAAACAGTCTAACAAATTCTGGGATTTTTGAAAACCCCGCTTGCCAGAGAACAGGGCACCTGCTGCTGATTGGCTTGGCTTGTCAAATATTATTGACCTGTGTCGATCAAAGGTTTGTTTCATACTGAGAGACTGTGACATGCATATTTATTTTCTGAGGTTATTGTTTATTCTGGTGTGCAAGATTGGCCCTCTAATGTGAGAGCATTTTCTTTGTTAACCTCTTTTGAAACGTAAAGCACTTCTTGCAGCTAAATACGAGTTTCAGGTTGTTCATCTTTCTCCCAAGTGCCACCTGGATATGAATAACTAAAAGCCATTTTCTTTTGTCTGTGAATACAATGGTTTTAACTTTAACTTTAACGTTATTATTCCATCGCTCATGTAGTACAAACTCAGTAAAGCCAAAGCCGGGGGCTTATACGGCCTGTGGTCAAAGTGGCAGAAATTGTTTTACATAGAAATGAAGACTGTAGGCTAAATCACAAAACTAAAACAAGATACAAAACTGTAATTAAGTAAGTTTACATACATGCAGTCGAGAGACAAAACCAGCGACAAATAAGCTGACAATAAACTATGAGAATCCTGTGCTAATTCTATTCAGGCTTAAAAGTAAAGTTTTAGTTCCTTTTTATATAAAGTTAGTGGTGGTAAGGCTGTTACGGATAGACAAGGGAATTTCGTTCCAAATAATGGGGGCTTGAGAACTAATAGCAAATTGATACCTGACTAGGAACATTTTAAACAAGTTGAAATGAGAACGAGTTCATGAAAATCATGAAAATCATGATTAAAATGAAGGAGCGAGAAGAGAGAGGCAGGTAGAAGGCTATTAAAGTGTGAGAATATAAAACAAGAAACATAGAATTTGTAGAGTGAATGGAGAGAAAGTTCGTTATGGAAGTACTTTTTCCTGGCAAGAAAATTGTATTTATTATGGTATTTGTTGTATTTCTCAACTTGTTGAGTGCAGTTGGGTTTAACTAGAACTGTTTGTAAAAAGAATTTTTCCTTTTACAAGAAGTAAAGAGAGCTTTTGAGAACCAGGGTTTGAAGAGCGGTGAGATTCAGAGCATGCAGGTTGAAGAGGAAATGATATACTGTTTGCCGAAGAAGACTAGAGAATGTGTCATAGGATTCATTTACAGAATTGATGGAATAGACTGAAGACCAGTCAACACCTTCCAGTTTAGACCTGATTTCTGACATAGTTACAATTGTTGAGTTAATAAGACATTACAAATGTATTTTGGCCTTGTGGCTCAACAATTATTTCCAAGTGGGTAACTTGAAAAACTGGGAGGTGATCAGATCAATCAGTGTAAAGAATGCCACTATTCATTTTAAGTTCAAGATTGTTTGTAAATATGTTGTCAATCAGAGTTGCAGTTGAGGAAGTTATGCGAGTTGGTTTGGAGATCAAAGAATTGAGGCTGTTAGATGTCATAAGATTAATGAACTCATATTTAGGTTGATGAGAATGAGAGTTGAGGATGTTGGTATTAAAATCACCCACAATATATTAGATAGCTTATTCTCAAGACTGATGGCTGACAAGATATCTTCAATATGTTAAAGTCATTAAGAGAGGCATCAGGAGGTCTATAGATCTAGAGGCAGCCATGCAACAATAATATTTTTACCATGAGGTCGCATTATTTCCACAAAAACTGATTCGTGCAGTGAATAGTTTGTCAGAAGATTGAAGATCAGTCCTAGGCTTAAAATTCAAATCAGACTGAATGTAAAGACCAACTCCACCACCTAATTTATTCTCTCTTAAATTGGAGATAAAATGCAATGGTATAGCCAGGAATATTAAAGAGATCAGAATTAGACTTATGTAACCAGGTTTCAGAAACAACGACAGCAGAGAACAACATATGAAGTGAAAGAAAATATTCTGACAGGTCGTCAAAGTGTTTAGGGAGGCTACAGACATATTAATATGGAAAATAGAAAATGTATCAAGAGGAAAAGGAATTTTGTTAAATTCTGAAGAGGTTAGATAGATGCAGTTTGAAAGTAATTCTGAATTTGCAGTAAAAAAAAATTGGGGTTAGCGGTCAAGGTTAGAGTTCCTTATCACAGATGAGATGTCTCAGGGTCATCAAAAAAGGGAATAAACACTTTTTGCTTAAGAAATTCAGGATCAAAATTTCCTTCAAACTTAAAGTCGAACAGCTGTGCAAAGAAGAAGAAATTCCAAATTACGAAGAATGGATTCCACCTTAAATTGAAGCTACATATTCAACTATGGAGAACTGCATTATCAAGATTCCTCTTTAAGCAATGATTACTTGGTAACAACTTTTGAATTAGCTTAACAGTCTTGCGACTGTTCCATTATTGCCACTCTCTGTTCAGGCAAGCCCATGGTTTTGGTTCTACACATGAACTTCATCAGTTGCCACTGGTTGGATTTGGCTTTGTTCTTAGTTGCCTTTACAACAGCAACTCTAGTTGTTCTCTGCTGTGGAGAGAATGGTACACCATTCTGTCTAGCTGAGCTTTCATCTTGTACAAACACCCGTGTCAAGGATTAAAATTCTAGACTTGAATGCTTGTCACATTTTACCACCTCAAATCCAACTTTCTGAAGGTTTTGAGCTAAAAATTCAAAACTTCATCCTTGCAGTCCTTTCTTTTAGAGGGATTAAAAAGATTTAACTTTAAAACCTACATCAATCATTCAGATTCATTGAGATTTCTTTATTCCTGCCATCCATGTGTTACTTCAGAAAAAGAAAGAAACTTTATTTGGTTACTTCCACACACATCATTGAAAAATAACTTCTGCTCTATGGAAAGCCAAACATTTTAGTGGTCAATTTATGACAGTTGATGACAGCATCAAATGGTGGTGCACGCGCTTAGACATAACAGGCCAAAAGGGTGGTTTTCAAAATCCCATGGTTTAATTTGTCTACAAGTATTTCCTTACCTTTTTTTCCCACCCCCTCCCTGCTCTTTTACTTGCGCCATTTTTGATGCGGTCTTGGACTCTTGTTTCTTGTTCGTTGCTCCGAATCCACACTGAACCACTTACTATGCAGGCTAATGTAGTTGTCGTATTTGGCCTCTGATAAACATTCATCCAAAAGGAAAAAATTTATGTTCTTAAGTGCCAGGGTGTAGACTGCAAGCCGTTCCGTCATTTCTCTTAATATCCGTCGAGTTCACAGACATGGTGCGTTTGGCAAGGAAAACGCTTTAAGCCAAAAAGGGAGTGGGCCGCTCGTTGCTTGTGCATTCTACCCCAGCTACTTTGAAGAAAATAAGAGACTGCTCGCAGTCTACCAGCGTGTGGGTCACAAAACTGTGAAAGAAGTGTGGAATTTTGGTAGTATGGTAGTGTGGTAATATGTGGAAGGTACTATAGGAATTTTGTTGCTCGGATCAAATGGTGGCTCAATGATACTGAAGTTTAGTGATTAGGGTTAGGAAAGTGAGTGAATCAATTTTTAGGTCAGTTTGCCCAGTATGATGACCTTAAAAGAACCTGATTCACTCAGTTTCCTAACCCTAACCACTATAAACTTCAGAGTCATTCGCTATTCGGCAGCCAGAAACCTAGCTGGAATTTTCGAAGTTGGGTAGTGTGTAAGTTTTGGAAATGTTATCGTAATATATTGTTCTCTGTTTTTGTCTATCGTTTTGTAGATGTTTGGCAACTTGGATATTTGGTAATGGCATCTTATGTGCAAAGAGTTTAAACTGCAGGCATGTGTGATGACCAACTGTGTGGCTCTCGCAAAGTGAAAGTCACTATATTGGCTTCTGAATGGGGATCAAGCAAAGGGGGGCTTTCTACCATAAACAGAGAATTAGCTCTTCAGTTAGCCAAATGCCCTGAAGTGGAAATCACTTTCTTTTTACCACAATGCAGTCAAGAGGAAAAGAAGGTTGCCTTACAAAACAATGTGAAGATCGTGGAGGCAGAACCACTACTTGGCATTGAACAACTGGAGTGGCTTTGCTTTTCTCCAGATCATCTGCAAATTGATATTATTGTGGGTCATGGAGTTAAACTTGGTAAACAAGCACAAGTCATAAAAAAATCTAAAAAGTGCAAATGGCTTCAAGTGGTGCACACAGACCCTGAAGAACTTGGGATGTTTAAAAACTATTCCAACCCAATTTCAAAGGGCGAAGAAAAGCACAAGACTGAAGTAGAACTGTGCAAAATGGCAGATCATGTTGTAGGAGTTGGACCCAAGTTGAGTGAGGCCTTCCGCTTATATCTTCGTAGCTGTAGAAAAGATGACACTGTTCTTGACTTTACCCCTGGAGTATTTGAAGAGTTTGCAGCTGTAAAGCAGGTTCCAAGTGAAAGGCAACAACGCAGTGTCTTGGTGTTTGGTCGTGGAGATGTAGAAGATTTTGAATTAAAAGGGTTTGACATAGCTGGGAAAGCAATTGCTGCATTAGAAGATACTCGTCTTGTGTTTGTTGGAGCCCCAGATAGAAAACACGAAGAAATAGCAAAACGGTTGGCTGAATGTGGTGTTCCTGCAAGGCGTTTGAGAGTTAGAGGATTTGTTGAAAAAAGGGAGAGTTTGAAGGACTTGTTTAAAGAAGTGGATCTTGCAATCATGCCTTCAAGAACAGAGGGCTTTGGATTGACAGGACTTGAGGCCCTGTCAGCTGGTCTGCCTGTGCTTGTCAGTGGCAACTCTGGTTTTGGAGAAGCTTTGCATAGTGTACGTTTTGGTTCAACATATGTTGTTAACTCAGATGAACCCGCAGATTGGACCTCAGCTATTAAGAAAATATGGGCCAAGGACAGAAAAAGTCGACTGGAGGAAGCAAAAATGTTGCGTGATTCCTTTGACAAAAAGTACAACTGGGCCATACAGATAAAAGATCTTATTGAGAAGATGATAGATTGGGTTCACGGTATGAACTTCAATGTGATTGACATGTGCGGTTCATCATGTGTTAGTGCACATTAATAATTTGCACAATATCAAGTATTGAAAATTGTTATTATTATTATTATTATTACTAATTTTTTTCCTTTTTCACATTAGGGAGCTTAAGCAGAGGTGTTTTTGAGCTACATATGATAACCAGAAGTGGACTTTTTGCAAATTTATCTTTGGTGGTGGTTTCGCCCTAATTTTCAGGCAATAGTCTCTATAAAAAATGAATACATGAGAATACACGTAACAATACAAATTTGGTAGTGTCAAGGTATATTAAATGAGGAGGATGGTTGGTTGCCATCTGTATTTCACAAACACCTTTTCTTCAGCTCCCAGTATTACAAAGGAAATAATAGGACGTGAAATCTAAAAAGAAGTGAATAACAAACAAACAAACAAACAAAACAGACCCATTAAGAATCATCAGCTGAGATTTTTTGTCCTATGTGTATGTAGAACTAAATGTGATAACAAACTTAATCATAACTATAACAAAATTGTCAAATCTGATTGGCTGTCAACTGCCCTGATTTCAGCCTTAATTGGACAGTTTTATAGGACAGTACACGTCATGCCTAAGTAATTGGATAGTACGGGTCATCACACGCGCGCTTAAATGGCTTTTTTTTTTCACTACTAGCAAAACATTAAAATTCCAAATTTCTTGTGTTTTGATTAAAAAAATAGCCTATTATATCACAAATTTTGTTAAAGTTATGATTAATTGGTAACAGAACTTCGTGTCGTCCAATTCGGTCTGTTTATCAAACTCGTGATTAAACAAATCGGACCCGCGTGATTTTGTTGATCACTCATATGATTACAGACCGAATTGGATGACACGAATACCAATTAGTCCACTCAGTCCTGTTGCCTTTACTTATTTCCCGGATAAGAAATACAGTCGAACCCCGTTATTTCGAAGGAGGATTGAATTTCCTTGGATTTACCCTTATGTTTTCAGTCATTTACTATCAGCTATTTCGAACTCGGTTATTTCAAATTCCCTGCTATTTCGAACTCATTGTTCTTTCCCTACAGCTTAAATCAACCCCGTTATTTTGAACTTGTCAACAACAGAGTACGTACATAAGAGCCCAGCTGGAAACGTATTGCATTTTATTTGAGTTTGTGTTGCGTAATTAATGACTTAAGAATGCTTGACTCATGTGCAGTGTCCCGCTAAGAAATTCCAGCTGTGTTATTCAATTGCAAAACAAAATGCACTGTTAGTGAACTGTTCTTCCGGCTGAAATACTCATGTGTGAACTCTGCTGTCTCTGTTGTGATCATTCGACATTGTAAAGGAATGTTCTGAATTTTCTGTGGTGATTACAAACATCCTTTGAGATCTGCTTGATGATTCATCTCTAAGCATTTTGCATTCTTTTACAAATCAGCGTGATAATGGGGAATCAACTACTGTATTTTATTAAAAAATGATTCATTGTTACGAATTTTACGCTTCCCCGGTTATTTCGAAACCCTGCTATTTCGAACTTTTTTTCCATTTCCCTTGGGACTTCGAAATAGCGGGGTTCAACTTTAGTGTGATTACATATCACTGACTGGCAAGTAATATTCCATAAACTTACCGGTATATATTAGTTGAGTCCCAGCTAATCTGTTGTATGCATTATCCCCAGCTCATGCATGGTGTGATTATTTCATACATTTGCTGATTAACCAAACAGCCAATTTATTGTTATCTACCCCTTTATTTAAACAGATGATTCTTCAAATCATCAGAGGTATTCAGAAACCAAACACAGAAAAGTCTCTCAGCAGATGGAGGGCATTACTGAAGACATTGAAGGTAGCATTATTTGTAATGCTAATTATCTTGGCTGAATGATGTTTCTGGTAGAAAGGGTACTGTGGAGGAATATGGCCTTTCAAGTTAAGCCTGATCAAGTAAAGAATATTTTGAGTTTGAAATTTTGTTGCCATGGACATTTTACTTTATTTTATAGGGCTCGAAAAAAACTTGAATTCAAGTTTGTCCTTTGGGCAAGCAACTCTTACCTTTTGCTTGCCTGGGGCCATGACCACTTGTTGATTAATGTCTTAAGACCATGCACATCAAGGCTTAAACTTGTTTAATGTTTAAGTTTTTTTTCTTTGTACACTGTATATATGGTAGAAGCTGTTTACTCTACTTTATTGATTGCTGCAACTATGTAACCTATTGAATTTGATTTGAATTATCTGTAGAATTGACGCCTGTGTTCTAGTTTTCTGTTACTGTTTTCCATTTTTAAACCATGTTTAGTTGATGTGTGAATGGAGCTTTAGTTAATGATTTGGTTAGAAGACGTCTTACTTGAACCTTTGCCCATATGGGCAAAAAAAGTGAGCAAGTTGCTTGTCCAACAGGAAAATTTACTTGTCATGGACTAATGAACAGGCCAGGACTTTTTTTAGCCCTGTATAATTATAGATGTCAACCAGCAACAAAATTGTAGAGACATTGTTGTCAAAAAAGGGAACTTCAGAGCAAAACAATCCACACCCCTCCCCTCCATTCAAAGTTGGGGTGTTTAGCCTTTTCTACAGGTAGCTTGAAGAGTGGTACATTACAAGCTTTATTTTCCCTTTTTGAAGTTTGTAAGATGTTAGAAAGGCCCTTTAGGGCAAATTGTGTCAACTTATTTTGTAGGCATGTGTTAGGATTCATATGGTTTGCTGCCAATATTTTGTACTGAGCATTGTGTGTCTGTATTTTTATGCTTTCACTGGCAAAGTGAGCGAGAGACTACTACTGGAACTGAGAAGTGAAGGACTTTGAGAGAGTCTTTTATGTCCCATGAAAATAATCAATAAAATTTGCTTCAGTGCACACCTATCAAACTATTGAAAATGTAAGAACAACTATCTTTTTTCCAGCTGAGAACATCCTTCCATCCTTACAAAATTTGCAATGTGATGCAGACCAGGTTCGCAACAAAACCATCCTACCATCTGATCTAAGAACGGTTGCAGCGAAGAAAGGATTCTTAGTTTCTGATAACCAAGCATCTGGGAACTGTTTGTTCTATGCACTGTCAGAGCAACTGAAAAGTGTTAAAGGAATCCAAATTTCACACAAAGAACTAAGAAACAATTTGGTCGAGTTTCTCAGAGAGAACGCTAATCTGGTAAGGCGATGATGTAGTCCCTTAATTGTATGCTTAACTTCATCATGTTGGGGAAAAAATGGCAGAGGCCTTTAGTGGTGTATTGCAAAAAAGAGACAATGTCCGGATATAAATAAGATTATGATCTCCTCATAACGTATAAGACTATACATGGGCGGCCAGTCTGCAGGTTACCTGAAGCCTTTAATTGAAATGTATCAATTAACCATCACGACCTTTAAGATCAGCGTCACATTCATTACTCTGTCCTCAAAAAGCTAAAACTGAAAACTATGGGTGTAGAGCTTTTTCTTTTGTGGCAAGGGAGTTGTGGAACTCCCTACAGGAGGACATTAAGAATGCCAAGACTGTAATCTGTTTTAAAAACAAGTTGAAAACTCATCTTTGTTAGAAAGTTTTCTATTTTAGTAAGCATTCTGGTGAACTTAATTAGATAGGGATTTTGATTTTATCTTCTGTTTGTAAATCATTGTAAGGCACGTTGAGCTTTGTAAATTCCCCCCCAAAAAATGTATTAATTTTGTTATTGTTATATTATATTAGATTCCCAAGGGCTGGCATCTCTGAAATAGGGTAAAGTGTGTTAGAGCATCTGTTTTAACTTAATGCAGGGCAGGGGCCCAGGCCCCCCCATATTTTTAGACCAAACTGAGGCCCAAAGGGCCAAAAAATTTTGAGACTGGCCCTGCCCCCCTTATCTAAGGGTTTGGATGACTCCCCCCGCCCCTTATCTCAAGGTGTGGATTCGGCACTGTAATATATCAATATATCATCGATATATCATTAGGAAGAATTTCTCAAATAGGGTAATCATTTTAGAATGTGTGCTCATTTTTGCACCGTACATGAAAGCTTTTCTTTCGAAAGACCACCCATCATTCAAGTGAAAAAGTATTTTCAGAGGTTATATAGCTGATTTTTTGCAGCATTTTCTGACCTGTTGTTGTCATCAATTAACTCAAAATTCACTCTAGTTGTATTCTGATTCATGAGCTAATTAAAATTCACTTGCTTGAATGTTGTTGTTGTTTTTTTTAGCATGATGGAACGTCCTTGTTCAACTTTGTTTCTGGCTACTCATCATGGGGTAAATATTTACAAAGCATGGCGAAAGATGGTACCTGGGGTGATCACGTGGTTCTGTTTGCTGCAGCAAATCACTTTCAAACTGCCATCCGTATTATCAGCAGCCTTGATCGTGAAATAGTTGTCCATCCAGAACACGCAGTTGCTGACCCAACCCCCCTTGTGTTGGGACACATTCATGAGTTACACTATGTTAGCCTTCAGCCTAGAAAAGGTACATTACTAGTCTCTTCCCTGTTGCAATCAGCCAGGTTTGTTTTACTGGTGGAAAATGTGCTGCAGATATCAGCCCTGTACTGCGGTGTGGTGTTTGTGTTCATTAGAGAAGGGAGAGTTGGTAACTGCTTTTGCATGGATTCTCTTTCTACAAATCATCCTAATGAGTTTCTTAATAGTGTAATCGCCTTTGTTAATGCGAAGAAAAGTAATTCCTTTTGAATTTTTAATAGCCTTTCGTCGCTTCAAATGTCATAGCTATACTCATAGGAGTAGATCCTATTCAACCAGATATTTTTCAGATTTTCAGACGCAACAAACTGTGACCTGTTTAGCTTAATAGACCTTGTCACGGTTTTCGACGCCATCTTGACGAGTAGGCAAACATGTGAGAATTTGCAGTGTTTATATGAGAATCTACTAAATGTCGAATAATTTCCGTAAAACGGCTTTTCTGAAAAAAAGTATCAATTGTAAACTAAAGCTACAAAGCGAAGGATTGTTCTTAAATATTTTGGGGGCGTACCTGTGCTTAAATTTCTCCAGAGGCTTGCTTTAGATTTTCTATATATTTGTCTGTAATTTTTCCCGGTAATTTCTTACAGACAAATGTATAGAAAATTTTAAAAAGTGGTTCTAGGTCTTCTAACACATGTAACGCCATCAATTTTTTTTCAGTAGAATCCTTAGGAGTGAAGCTTTAGTTTACAATTTATTATTTTTTCAGAACAGCCGTTCTACGGAAATTATTCGACATTAGATTTTCATACAAACACTGTAATTTCTCACGTGTTTGCCTACTCGTTAAGATGGCGTCGAAAACCCGGCGGGTCTATTATCCGCAGGTCGCAGGTCACAGGCCGCGGGTCACAGGCCGCGGGTCACAGGTCACAGGTCGCGAATAATATATGTAAATTGATTATGAGTTTCCAGAAAAATCGATTTCAAAATTATGATTTAAAAAGCGAGATAACTGGTCAAAGCGGGTAGTGGACAAGTGGCCCCTTAAGGTTATACTTTTTCCATTTGTTTTTAAGTCACACAAGATAAGGCGCCCTGAGTCATCAATGAAAGTTTTCATAATTTGAAGATCGAAATTATTGTTGAAAAGAATGCTTACCCCAGCTTTGCTGCTGGAAAATGAGCTGAAAAGACTTTTGTACCCCCATTCAGCAGCCCATAGGTGTGAATTTTCTTGCGAACAATGTACTTCTTGCAGCATGTAAATCGAGTATTTCTTAGATCTGAGCCAATTAAAAATTTCTCTTCTTTTAACGTTATTCCCAAGGCCCCGTACATTGAGAGAAGCTACCGTGATAGTATTGTTATCTATTTTGTATATTAAAAAAAGGGGATATAATAGGTAACTGCACTGTTTGATTAATCGACAATAACAGCGTTATGGCCGAGCGAAGGTGTTTTGCATACAGCTCAGAAATTGTAATTTTTAGGCTTTGAAAGAAAAGATTGCATCGGAAAGCTGTAGTTATAATTTTATCGATGTAGTTTATAAAGCTATGCACACTGGAATCGACAAAACAGCATTGTACTAGTACGAAAAGCAAACTGGTGGCACGGAAACACAAACAATTACATATAAAACAGCTAAAGTAACCAAAAATAACACAACAAAACATAAACAATTTAACTATAAAAAAACCTTATCAGATTGGGGTTTCGAGTGGCTAGCGGGCGCGTAAAGGAAAGCAAAAACCTGGTCGAGTAGTTATTACCGGTCGGGACAGCTAAGCCGTCCGCCACCCTAAATTTATAAAAAAGGAGAGTAAAGTTCTGAGGTACAATCATGAAAAACAGTTACTCAGCTGCTTCTGTTGCATCGAGGCACTTGCCCGGAGGCCAGAAACTGCCGTTTATAAACAGCTTGTCGGGCTGGCTCTTGCTGAAAGATGCTCTCCTGCCTTGTGGTCGTGCTTGTTTGAAAACTGTCATTTGATCTTTCCGGCGCTTGATGATTTCCAATGGAAGATCGCGGAACATTTGGAAATCGGTCCCCTCTAGACGTCGGCCCAAGGAGAAAATTTCCTCGACATCTTTATATCGAAGAAATCTGGCGATTATAGGACGTGGAGCTGTGTTGCTGTTACGTCGGTTTGATAGACGGTGTACGCGTTGGATTTCCACGCTGCGGCCATTACGATATCCGAGATCTCTCTCCATGAAACTTCTTAGAACTTCTTCGGTATCTTCTTCTCGTGCTTCAGGGATATTAAAAAATTTAATATTCTCTCTCCTGGAGTAGGCTTCGAGATAAAGGTTCTTGGATATGATCTCGTCCATTTGGTGGTTGAGTTTCTTCTCACTCTCAATCAGAGAGGTAATTCTTTCATTCTGCTCGTCAATCTTATTTTTTAAATCATCTCGATATTCCTTACATTTGTCAGTATTGAAACTGCAAGACTTCTTTAGATCAGCTATGTCAGTCTTGGCCGTTGCTTGAAACTCTTCGAGCTTTGCTGTTCTTGCCTTGAGATTCGCCAAATTGGTTTCTATATTTCTTACTGTGCTTTCGATTGAGTCAAGTTTACTCAGTCTATCAATGATGGAGTTAAGTTTTTCTCCGATGTGCTCTATTTTGTCGAGAGCCGCCATGACTTCGTCATTTGTCTCGTGGTCGCTACCTGTGCTTTCGTCTTCTGTTTCTGTTAGATCTCTGGGCTTTTTTGCCTCTTGAAATGGCGAGGTCTCGCCTCCGGAGCTTGTCGATGATCGATTTCTGCGTTTTCTAATATAGTTAGACAGTTTTTCGGCCATAAAGAACTTTTGGAAGGCGGACGGCTTTTTGTGTGCTCCTACTCCGCCATCACTCGGCCCAATCTCTCTACTACTGAAAGGTTGTATATGGGAGAAATGTTTTTTGTTGTACCTGCGAACTGAGCAACCTGTGATCTGCGACCTGTGACCCCCGACCTGTGACCATCCTCGGAGACCCAGGGGCAGTCAGTCGGGTCGGGAGAAAAGGCAGGACGAAAGTTTTCAAGTACGGGCGAAAGACCCCCTGGGTACCGACTCTCACCGAACTATTTCCAAAAATTCAAGCAGATGCCGGCTCCTGATTGGGCACAAAAAAAGCTTTGTATTATTGTGCCCAATCGGCGAACAGTTCCTCCTGAGTTCTTTTCGTGAGTTCGTACACGGCGGATACTGTCTCGATCACGGCTTGTCTGGCTCATGCACCAAAGAAATTCACGCAGTCAGGAAACTTTCAGTTTGATATAAAATCCCCATCTGATTTCAAAATATTGTCTGCCCGAAAACTAAAGACGCTTTTCCAAAAATACAAGCTTGAGCTTACAACAGGTATTCACGCTTGCATCGGTCACGCGTCTTGCGTAAATGCTAGGGAGTTGTTAAAAGATACCACGACGGCTGACAGCCACGAAAACGTCGCATGGAAAAGTGAATTCACATTTTTTCAGTCTCTATCGTGATTATTCCAACTCGCTTACTTTGTCAAATGCAAGCGCTGACTCTTCTGGAGCTGAATTTTTATTAACCATATCCATGAAGATATGTTCATGAAGAGAAAGAATTTTATCATTGCTTGTGTACGTCCTTCACAAAACGTGAAATGAGGCATTTTCACGGGTACTGTCGTGCAGTTGACGGCAAAGAAATGTACAAAAAAGCGTGAAGCACGTGCAAAGTTGTTGTTTTGCCTTGTGAAGCTATAGCTAATTTGACTTTCTCGTCGCCGCCGCATCTTAAAGTTCCTATTATTTACGGTACATTGTGATCCGTCAAAAACAGAATATTCTCGGGGCAAATTAAATTGCTCCTGCTGATAGCATCCCAAACGTTCCTTCGCTTCTGGTTAGGAAAGTAGAAAATAAAAGTTTTCCTTGCACGCACAAGCTTGGTGAACGAACCGGGCAAGTTTGGCGAGACAATAGCCGTCGTGTACGAACTCACGAAAAGAACTCAGGAGAAACTGTTCGCCGATTGGGCACAATAATACAAAGCATTTTTTGTGCCCAATCAGGAGGCGCCATGCGCTTGAATTTTTGGAAATAGTTCCGTTGGAGTCGGTACCCAGGGGGTCTTTTGCTCTTACTTGAAAACGTTCGTCTCGCCTTTTCTCCCGACCCGACTGACTGCCCCTGGGTCTCCGAGGATGACCTGTGACCTGCGACCTGCGGATTAGACCCGCCGTCGAAAACCGCGACAAGGTCTATGGTTGTGATTGAGAAGAAATTAGTGTGATGTGGAACAGGCGAGTTTGAAACAGTTCACAGTAAAATATCCACGCTTTATACTGAGTGAATGGAATCTTAAGCTAATATTGGCTTTGCGATTTTACACCAAGAGATGATTATTATAATAAGAAGAGTTAATTCATGGCGTCTTACCCTTTGCAAATTACCAGTTTTAAGGCGCTCGGCCACTCGATCTTTCTCGAGTTGTGCGTACCAAATGCTACATACCGTAAAGGGAACAAAAGGGTATTCAAAGATTTTAAAAAGAGATTCTATTTCCATTAAGGGCGGACTGAAATGTCCATTACTCAGAACGTGTCCAAGAATAATTTTTATTTTTTAAATTCATAGCGCTTTCGGTTCAGAGTGTTCGCATGTCACTCTCTTCATTTGTAGTTTTGGGACTGTATTATTGCTACAATCCTGGACAAAACTTCTTGAGAAAATGTTTTCATTAATGTGCACTACCTAACGCAACAAAACTATTTCTAAATCAACGGCTTTGCGTAAAGAAAACCCCCTCCCCCAGTTCAAAGTTGCTTCCTACAAATGCTTAGGGATCCGGCTTTCTTTTGAAGACCCAACAACACTGCTTCCAGGGGGAGAGGGGGAGGGAAGAATGGGTCGGCTACGAAGTTTAGAAAAAATGACCCCCAAGAAGGCAATTTTCTCAACAGTTTTGTCCAAGATTGTAGGTGATCATAATTAGTTATCTAAGGCTATGTCAGTTGTCAAAGGTTCATTATTGACCTTCTAACCATACTGTTAACAGTACAAAATAAAAAGACTGTGATAGAGAAAGCGTTTCATTGACTGACGGACGGTTCTCCCACCTCAGTGAATATATCTGTGAGTCGAGGATCAGTTATCCTTTCTTCTAATGGCCGTTGTTTACTGTTTTTTATTTTGCCAGATGAGTGTTTATTTCTAAGGAATAAGAGGGACAATGAAGGGTACGACGAAATCAGAGAAAGACCATGGAGGACCCTGGAAGACCTTAAGGCTTTTAGATCTACAGGTACGAGTTCATGATATGCACCTAACCACAACCCTTCTGTTGTAAAATCCGCTACTACCCCCCAACTAAAAAGGGCGAATTGTACCGCTCCAAATCAGTGATAGATACCCTTTAAGACTACCAATCTTGTCTCCAGAGGCTGTGTTGCTACCGAGGCCGGTAGACCACGAATTTAAAGATTGCATGACAGTTGATTTTTGCTCTAGGCGTTAACGATTTAGGTGACTTGGCTTTCGGTGTTTGTCAAGCCAACAAGATGAACTCTTGTGTTCACATTCCTTTCTCATTGCTGACGTCTTTATGAAGAACTAGTATGCTGTAACTGAAAGAACTTTCATCTATATGGACTTTCCGCAAACAATAGTTTGACTTCGCTTATTAAATTCTATGACCACATTCCACATTCAAATCTAGGCGATTTAAGATACAACTGACCATACGGTAATGCCGGGCCTATATCTCGCTAATTCCAGTGCTGTAGTGAAATTTTGGTCAGGATATTTCCATGCGTTTTTTTATTTTTTGATTGGACTCAAAATAGAATCACAAAGTGCTTCTCGAAGTGTGTCATATTTCCCGAATCATGCGCTTTCCATAATGTAATGATACAAATTAACAGATTAAATACGTGATAACAACGTTTAATGCAGCTTCATCTTTTTAGATTTGTCATACCCAAGTGACATTTTAGAGAAGATCCGTCAGCTGTATAGAACACGTGAACAACGCCTTCTGCCTGTACCTTGGTGTGAAGATTTCAGCTTTCATTTGAATGATATGTTTACTAGATTAAAAATCTCGGGCAAAGAAAAGACCCAAGGAGTACTTACTGACGAGGTAACCAATATGACTGCTATATTTAAGGCGCACACAGAATGTCAAAGCCCGCGAACAGTTTTGATCGAGGGAGATCCTGGCATGGGAAAAACCACATACTGTCAAAAGCTGGCGTATGATTGGGCAACTAAGAAGGACGAATGGGATCCATCTTTTCCAGAGATTGAAGTGCTACTGCTTCTCAAATGTAATGAAATTCAATCCAACATCTGGGAGGCTATCGATGATCAAATTTTGCCCGGGGAAATGGAGGATCAAGCTAAGGAATGTTTCTTTAAATTCATTCGCGAAAATCAGTCGAAAGTTCTTTTAGTTCTCGATGGATATGATGAAGTGGATCCTAGTAACCTCAAAGTACTCTCCAGCCTCGTTCAAGGTAAAGAACTTTCAGGTTGCTACATTGTTGTCACATCTCGTCATGAGGCTGGAAGTACAGTAAGGAGGTACTTTGACACTCTGTGGGAAATTGAAGGATTTACCAAGAAAGATGCAGAAAGCTTTATTCTTAAATACTTTAAAAACATCAACAAAGAGCACTTAGCCGGGAAACTTATACAAAGCATAAGGGATGTAGACCTGAGGGAACTGACAAAAAATCCCTTAAACACTGCCTTACTGTGTGTTATTTGTGAGGATTTTGAGGGCGTGTTTCCAACGAGCAGAACTGAATTGTACACGGAGATTGTTCTTTGTGTTTTAAGAAGATATGAACAAAAGCAAGGTTTAGCGAGCAAGAATGAAGACCTGATGACCGTTTACAAAAAAGAATTAATAGATCTTGGAAGAATGGCATTAGAATCTCTTCTACAAGGAGAATTGTATTTTGAAGAACATAAATCTGACGGTGGCTTCATTGTCTTATCCAAGTTCGGATTCCTTTCACTTCAGGCTGGTGGCAGTAAGAGGAAAGTTGTTGTGCGTTACGCATTTCTTCATAAGAGCTTTCAAGAGTTCTTTGCTGGTTTCTATCTTGCTTACAAACTCATTGAGGGAGAAATTGAGTACGAATCAGTGGTGACTGACCAAAGATATGAAAACGAACTATATCAAGTCTTTTTATTTTCGATCGGAATTTTAGTTTCAAGAAGTGCGAAAACCGCACAGTCTCTCGTAACATATATGGCTAGAAATGTCACAAGTCTTGGGTCTGCGAGAGATATTTCAAAGCGTCTTGCATTTTCTTTAGGTTGTTTATCAAAGCACGAAAGTTTAGTTTGCACCTTAGGGAAGCACCTTCACATTTCTTATTTGAAACTGGAGGCAGGAATTTGGAAATATCACGTTGAGTCTCTTTCCAAGGCCCTTTCAGTCAACTCCTCCTTAACTCATTTGGATTTGATGGGGAACAGTATTGATGCTTCTGGAACTGCGTCTCTTTCCCAGGCTCTTGCAGTCAACTCCTCCTTAACTAATTTGAATTTGAGTAGCAACGGTATTGGTGATTCTGGAGCTGTGTCTCTTTCCCAGGCTCTTGCAGTTAAGTCCTCCTTAACTAATTTGCGTTTGACTTTGAACGGTATTGGTCCTTCTGGAGCTGCGTGTCTTTCCCAGGCTCTTGCAGTCAACTCCTCCTTAACTAGTTTAGATTTGACGCATAACAGAATTGATGATTCTGGAGCTACGTCTCTTTCTCAGGCTCTTGCAGTCAACTCCTCGTTAACTAATTTGGATTTGAGAACGAACAGTATTGGTGATTCTGGAGCTGCGTCTCTTTCCCAGGCTCTTGCAGTCAACTCCTCCTTAACTAGTTTAGATTTGAGAACGAACAGTATTGGTGATTCTGGAGCTGCGTCTCTTTCCCAGGCTCTTGCAGTCAACTCCTCGTTAACTAATTTGGATTTGGGAGGGAACAGAATTGGTGATTCTGGAGCTGCGTCTCCTTCCCAGGCTCTTGAAGTCAACTCCTCGTTAACTAATTTGGGTTTGGGTTTGAACAGGATTGGTGATTCTGGAGCTGCGTCTCTTTCCCAGGCTCTTGCAGTCAACTCCTCCTTAACTAATTTGTATTTGTTTGGGAACAGAGTTGGTGATTCTGGAGCTGCGTCTCTTTCCCAGGCTCTTGAAGTAAACTCCTCCTTAACTCATTTGGATTTGAGTCATAACGATGTTCGTGTTTCTGGAGCTGCGTCTCTTTCTCAGGCTCTTGCAGTCAACTCCTCCTTAACTAATTTGTATTTGTTGGGGAACAGTATTGGTGATTCTGGAGCTGCGTCTCTTTCCCAGGCTCTTGCAGTCAACTCCTCCTTAACTAGTTTAGATTTGAGAATGAACAGTATTGGTGATTCTGGAGCTGCGTCTCTTTTCCAGGCTCTTGAAGTCAACTCCTCCTTAACTAATTTGTATTTGTTTGGGAACAGTATTGGTGTTTCTGGAGCTGCGTCTCTTTCCCAGGCTCTTGAAGTCAACTCCTCCTTAACTAATTTGGATTTGAGATGGAACAGTATTGGTGATTCTGGAGCTGCGTCTCTTTCCCAGGCTCTTGCAGTCAACTCCTCGTTAACTAATTTGGATTTGAGTTGGAACAGTATCGGCGCTTCTGGAGCTACCGCTCTATCCCATGTGAGCACGGTTAATACAACGGTGCACGTTGTTTTTGTTAATGAAGATAAGGTGATGCACGTAGATAATCCTGTTCTTGTTAATGGTGAGGAGGAAGAGGAAGAAGGAGACAAGGAGAAGTTGAACGGTACACGTAGATGGTCTTGTTCTTTTTTATGATTTGGAAGAACGGAAGAGGAAGACAAGGACGAGGAAAGGCATATAAATAGGTAATTTTAACGTACAATTGTTATAGAATAAAATAATAATCCTCCTATTTAGAAAAGTTGTTGAGTGTTAAAGGAAAGTCAAACGGGGCATTTCGGGGACCCATGCATTTGAAGAAATTTTTTGTTTGCGCTCTAATCTAAGAAATAATGACATAATTTCTACTTAAAGTCGAGGTCTGAAAACGGGTATGGATTTTATAAATGAATGTTAAACGGAAAGCCGTCAGGGATGCGTGACACTCGTACTTCAATAGCTGATTTGAAAACATTTGACACTTTTTGATATTTCTTTACCGAGTATCACCCTATCATGGATTTTAAAAGTCTGGTCTGAAAACGGGTGTTGAAAATGACTTTTTTTGGGTTTGAAATAGGGTCAGGATTTGGAGAACCGGGCGGCACAGCCCACCAATTATTCCCAGGAGTACCCTCCCCCCGGCACGGAGCCTGCATCTCAACTTGATATTTCTTGTCTGGTGTTCACACTGTTCATAGTTTGCTGAAGTGTCTATTGAGGTTTAACATCCAGAGCTTCTTCCTTCACTAACACTTTTAATTGACGACGCATTTTTTATTTAGGTTCTGAAAGAGACAGAATGCACCCAGTGTGAACACAAACCAACCTATGGACTTCTTCATCGAGGACAGCACATACATGGCGCCTTACCAATTCAGAGCGGAGAAAGAATCAATTTAATTATATGGATGCGCTCTTCTGCAGTGCGCAATAAACTGTGTCCTATTTGCAACAGGGTACCCTGGCTGATGGTGATGGGTTTACTGTTAATGCTGTGTCAGTCTGTGCTGCTCTGTAACGTCATCAAGTGCCATTTTTCTTACCTGAGAGCCCCTACGACGCATTAAAGCGTTGCAAAAATTGTTCAAAATACTGTAATTATTATCGCGGACCCGAGAGAGTTCACTTGTGAATTAAGGTTTATTTAGAGAAAGAAACATGCCCTTATTGTTCTCTCCCCTTTTAAGCCTGCTTCTTGTCAACTCGCTCTGTTCTTTGCTTAACTCGCCTTAACGTTCTTGAAAGACAATGAAGCATAAATACACACCTACCTACATACATAGATACATTTTGTTTCAACTCGAAATACCAGAGTAGCTCTATTGAGTTAATATCTTAGAGAAAAACAGGCAAATAAATGAATGAATCATAATTAATAACTAAAATTATGAAATCTAATGAGTTATTACAATACATAATTAAGACTCCAAAATACTATAAGGTCATTTTTTCTGGCTCTCGTAAAATCATTTGTTGATTCTATTGTTCTCATACTTTCTGAGAACAAGTTCAAAATTTTCGCAGCTTGGTAGCAAATAGACTTACGTCGGCCATAACTTGTCAACATATACCTAGATTGCTTTGATCTTTTGCAGGGAAAGCGGAATACACAACTAGTTACTTTTGCTTGCAAAAGATTGATATGATTAACTATAGTGGTACATGTAAGCGTGCTAACTCTTTGACGCTTTTTAAAAAATCAGTCCTAACTGCAATGCGATTCTTTAAGTTGGCAACTCTCCTTAAAAACTACCGTACTTCCTTTAATTATTTTCTTTAAAATAATGGGTAAAACAAGAGGCGCTTATTGCAAGGAGGGCACTTAATCGATGGAGGCGCTCGTGAAGTTTTCCTTGAATGAAGTGTAACTTTTTGTGGGCTAAAAGTAATATTAAAAGCCTTTCATTTGCTAAATCAGTAGTTCCGTAATCAAGCGTACCGTAGTGCCACACTTAATTCATTAAGCCTCAATATCCACATACAAATTCTCCATACTGATCTTTATACATTTCCTTAAAGAATTGGTTGAGAGTGTTTGATAACAGATCAAAGCATTTTCTCGTAAGTAATCATTTTATTAACTCTCATAACCATTTCTCTTGGCAACATATGGATATTGTTAGGAGAAAGTTGATGTTGGTCACTGTTGGGACTTAGATTGAAGGGTTAACTCTCAAATGTATCGGTATGCGTATGTTTATAAATTATCGATTAGCTCATCATCCATCGAAATCATCCTCTACAATGATATACGGATCTTCGCATTTCCCTTGTATCCCTACTATCTGGAGCTGATTACTAATCTGCTCCTGCTACCATTTAAGAAAGTGAGGAAGGGGCCCTTATTCGAAGGGGAGGGGGGTTGCTTGTATGATATTAGGGAGCTTTAGCATTGACGACGGCAACTGCAGCGAAAACGTCAGTTTTAAAATGAATTCCCGTTTGTTCATCTGTGTGGCGTTTATTCCAATTTGCTGAAAATGGTAAGTGTAGGCGAATTTCCCTGGAGTTAATTTCTTGAGGACCGCTCTCACGTTTAGAGAGAGAAAAAGAGATTCGTTGTCGCTTGTTTACGTCCTCCATAAAACTTGCCATTAGGCATTTTCACGTCGTAGTCGTGCAAGGACGGTAAAGAAATGTACAAAAAAGCGTGATGCACGTGCAAAGTTGTAGTTTTGCATCATAAACCTATTGCTTTTTTGACGTCCTCTTTGCCGTCGCCGTCGTCGTCGCTAAAGCTCCCTATTATGGTCTAAGGGGAGGGCGCTTATTGGAGCATACGCACTTATGATAAGAGAAAATACGATAACTTTCCAATCAGAAACGCTGTGATGGTGGTGTCAGTATTTTGCTATTTTATCCGCTAGTATTAAATGATAACAACACAAGCCAACTAGCGCGTAAGACAGTCACACAGATATAACTGAATAACAGAGCCCGTCTTCTTGTTGTATGGGATCCGAGATGGTGCAATTTTTTTTATGTGGAAAATAGTGAAGGCTATTCACTAACGGGTATTTTGGACTTTTTAAAATTTTAACCCTGTTACTCCTAACAGACCTAATAGTGGCCTAAAAAATTCACGTGGAAATAATATTCCAATTTTTGTTTTGTAAACGGGAAGAAATCTGTAGTACCATATAAACGTTTTACCGAAGAGGTTTCTTTGAGCGTTAACACTATGGGATTTCGCCCTCGCATTTAAAAAGTAGGATGATAAGTAATCTCGCCTCGAGATCGATTCTTACCTGTATGAACAACGTTCTACGTTCATTTCAGATCATTTCCGCGTCCCTATTGTCAAACTCAACGTCTCTCATCCGCAGAGGCTCCCGGTGGGTATCCATAATCAAAAAGTGGCAAGCGCGGGGAGGACCCGCGCGCGCGCTTTCTTTTTTCCCTCCCCAGCCTCCCCCACGACACTTGGTGGCCTCTGCGGTGGAAAGAGGGCAGTGGGAGAAATTTCCTGCGGCATTGTTTTTACGGAAATCGCCTAATGACATATTCTGGAACACACCTGGCAGGTGTCTTAAGGTTTGCTATTTTTTTTTCTAAAGCTTTCTGCCAGAATACCGATAGATGAACATATGTTCGTATTACTAGAGTTGATAACGTGAATTTGCCACTTTAAAACGATTGAAATGCCGGCAATGGAACGCATGTCTCGCTTTGACTAACAGCTACCGTTCGAAACGTTATAATTAGCCTCATTCGCAGCCGCTACGGCCGAAGTCACGTATTGTCGCGCCCCCCGTTCCCCGGAATTTTGATGACGTCATAAGGGGTACAAGGGGCGTCGTTCTACGTAGGTGGTTGAAATGTGGACTAGATCAACCTTGGGCAGCCTGCGTAGAAGGCGCTTGGATCTAATACGGGTGTTCCAAGCGCCTCATACGAAGGCTCAACCTAGTACCCATACTTTTAACTGTAACTCGAAAAAAACTGTTAACAACTTTGATGTAATTTTTCAATGTGTAATTGTGCCACGGTTCTTAAAGACTTTAATATTGCTGTTTGCTTAAAAAAATCGGAACTACTCTCTTGGCCAAGTCTGCAAGGAACTTAATTAACAACTATTTTTATCAAGGCCACGAATTGCTTTTTTTCGCACATGCGTAGACGAGCGAAGAAAACCTGAGGTTTCGGGTGACAAATGTGATGGTCATAGATAGTACGAGAAACTACAACTCTCGATAGACACTAGTGTCCTCGGGCGTGGTCGCATGGTTTACTCGCACGACTGCCACTAGAAAGAAAAATTAGGGCAACTCTGTCCTCCCTAAAGATTAAGCTCAGGGCGGGGTGGGGGGATTTTCATGTGAGCAGAATCCGTTGGCGTGAAGGGCTTATGATAAGAGGACGGTTAATTTGCAACCAGGAGAATTAGCGTTATGCGACAGCGAGGAGGTCACGCGAGCGCATCATCCTGGTCTATACACGGCGTCTGCTACGCGGGCAGCGACTGATGGATCTTTCGTCTCGCACACACTCGTGCAGTAGATACTCATTACGCCCCACCTTAGTCTCTAAGGAGGATACAGGCAAGACCTGTCTACTAACAATTTATTTTTTTGTGGCTTTTAACGCTTGATTAGTATGATTACTTTCTGGATTCTGTTCCTTAGAGTTCCGTGTGCCCTCCATCAACAGTTTTCAACTCATCGGGGGTATCCTTAAAGCCCATGACCGGTGTCGACAGCGAGAGCTTGAGCTTTTTCCCCTGTGGCTGTACCTTGTCAAGATATATCACGCGGACGGTCAGATCATTGTAGGTACGATAGTACAGCGCCTTATGGGTAAGGTCCTTGGCCACGATCCAGATGGTATAGTCTTCGCTGGCAACTCCACGGGGAATATCCACAGTATTCAAGATATGGACAGCCAAGTTTACGGCCTGGTCTTTCGTCTTAACCGGATTAGCAAAGTGAGTCAGCGTAGCGGCGCGAACCAGTCTGGAGGGAGGTGTCAAATCGCCTGGGGTACCAAGCAAACCACTGCCATAACCGAGGGGTGTGAAAACATCTCCGCCCAAATGCAAAGGCCCGTGTGCGGTATTGTTGAGTTCAACATAATTACGAAGGTTAATCATATGGAAATCATAGGGCGGAGAG